GAGGCGTAACTCTCAAAAGGGAATAACAAAAAAGGATATCGTCCAGCCCGACGTTTACCCCAAGACGCCTATTGAGCTCTAGCACCCCCATAATTATCCTAAAGACATTAAGGCAACACTGCCCGGGAAAGAGGTGGAAATGAGAGAGGAACTGGAGAAGCAGAGGGGGCAAAGGGAACCTAATTCCGCCTTCTATAATGGCTTTAATATAAAAAGGCATTGCATCCTCGGTACCGAGGGTACGAGGGTGCACAGCCGCATCATAATCCTCTACCTCTACATTCGGTGGAACGCCGTACCTAACCCTAAATCTATTAATTTGTTCACTACCTTTTACTTTATACTTCCCTGGCCTCGAGGTACTAGCCTGAGGATTCTCGGGGGCAGAACGACGACGAGGCATGTTCAAGAAGTGATAAAAATAGAGGGGGTTTTTCCACGAAGATCCCCAAGAAGGCTTCCCGGGGGTCGATCGCTGGATGGCAACCAGAAAACACCTCCGGTAATCGAAAAACCAAAAGAGACAGAAGGGCAAAGAAATGGAGGATACTGGAACTCACCAGAGCGTAAGAAGAGGTATTTTCTGGAAAACTTGAATCGATTCCTTCCCAGAATGTTCAGAAACAAAGGATGGGTCTGCTAGCTTTAAAGCTTCAGTGAAAAGGTTGGGCAGTTAAGAGACAGAAGAGAAGAGGTCTCCGGCGAAGATTCAGGCAAGGGCTCTCTGGAAGAAAAGTTCAGAATGACGAAATGAGAAAAAGAGGGAGGAAGCCCATTTATATAGTACCGGTCTCATCATTGGGCACGAAACACGAAAGGGCGCATTTAATGCGCACGACTCCCTAAGCAGGGGAAAGCGGCTAGAGGCAATGATGAAGCAGTTGAGGTTGTTGGGAAACCCTTCGTCTCCTTACGACGCGTGTCCTCGGCGTCAGGAGATCAAAGGCTGGGGGGCAGTTGATGGGACTTTTCTGAAAATACTCCAAGATGAAGACACGTGTCCTCGGCGTCACTAAAAAATCCTGTTAACTGAGATCACGTACCATCGGCTTTACAACTCCCTCGCCCGAGGTACTTGACACGTGTCGAGTACGTTTTACGTACCGACACGTATCCCTCGGTCTGGTATGGTACCTCGGTCATCATGTACAGCTTCCCTCGGCTCGAGATGTACCTATCCTCGGTACCGAGATGTGCATGTCCTCGGTACCGAGATGTACCCCGTCCAGGATGCCTTTTTCTCTGCTCCAGTATAAGCTATTGATGTACAGGTCATTAGCCTAGGCTAGTCTAGGTTAGCTATCATGGTCTCGTCTTACACAATTGGTGTCAGAAGGAACAGGAAGGCAGGGTCCACAGCCAATAAGGGATGGACGCGTGGCAAATTGTGTCACATCAGAGACAGAAAGACCGCATGCCCTTACTGACACGCGACTTGGGAAAGCAAACATTTAATTACACCATTCCCTTGATGAGACCGCATTCAATGCGGTAAGGCTCGGAATTGAAAGGCAATAAATGTCTCTAAGGCTGGGCATTTATTGCATCCTCCCCGAGTGGAGATCATTAGACAGTCGACAGTCCGATGACACAACATTGATTGCTCGGCACCCCGAGCAGTTAAAGAAAGGAAGACATTCCTCATCAGAATCAGTGTGCACACTGCCTGTACCTAATGATCATCTACTGACAACACTGACAGCAATCATGAGCTTTTGATGTATAAATACTCCTCATAAAAGGCAAAACGGTATGCAACAAGAAAACTCTTGACTACGAAATATACTCAGTGCTTTCTTCTTCTCTCCCTTTCAAAAACTGACTTGATCGTCGGAGGGGATAAGCCGGAAAAACACTCCGGCGCCCTTCTAACTTGTTCTTCTTTGTTCTAGGAACCTTTCTCCAGCCTTAATGGGTCGTTCCTTCAATCCACGAGGGACTCCCGTTACTGTTCCAGGTTACCACCGGACCTCACAGGCTGTCCCAAGCAGCGTGGTTGACTACTCAACTGACTCACTCGAGTTCACCAAGGGAGAGATCTGTTCTCATTTTTATATTGTGTAAGATCCTGCACGCACAGCAATCTACCCCTGCCATCACCAATACCAGTCTACCACAACCTCTAAAATAAGAAAAGGGGAGGGGAGGGGGAGTGAATTAACGGCAAAGAAGTTGTTTAAACCTTCCCATTTTAGCCTCGCATATTTATACTATTTTTTCACAAATCAATTAGGATGATGAAAGAATGAGAAACAAATCGTTCTAATTAAGTAAAACTCTCCTTTGCTTTTGCATGCATTTGTAGCTCCAATTCCAAAATTCATCACATAAAATTAAGGGTTAATCTCATTTTACATCCCGAAAGATAGTTCGAATCTCAATTTACACCCTCAAAGAGCAAAAATCTCAATTTGCATCCTCAAAGATAGAAATTTGTATCAATGTGCACCCCTAAAGATCAAAAATTAATTTACACCTCAAAGATAGAAATTTATATCAATGTGCACCCCCAAAGATCAAAAATCTCAATTTACACCCTCAAAGATAAAAATTTATATCAATGTGCACCCCAAAGATAAAAAATCTCAATTTGCACTCTCAAATATAGAAATTTGTATATTATGCACCTAAAACTAAGTTGATAAATTATATCTAGATCCCCTCATGTTTGTCACTTAATCATTTGGACCTCTTTACATTTAGAATATTACTCCTACATCTCATGACATTTATGCACGTACAACATGTAACCCATTTTCATTGATATCTGTTAATATAACCGTTAAAAAATATAATTTTATCCTAATAAAAAATTATAATTTCATATTACCCTTATTTTATGGGTCCAATATACTCTAAAGTTCAAAATCAAGCTTACCATTTGAATGTCTAATAAAATGTAGATATTTATATAATGTTTTTATATTTTCCTTTTATAAATATCTATATTCTATTAGACATTCAAATGATAAGTTTGATTTTGAACTTTAGAGTATATCGAATTCACAAAATAAAGGGTAATATGAAATTATAATTTTTTATTAGGATAAAATCTTATTTTTTAACGATTATATTAATAGATATCAACGAAAAGTGGTTATGTTTATACATGTACAAACGTCATGAGATGTAGGGGTAATATTCTAAATGTGAAGAGGTTCAAATGATTAAGTGACAAACATGAGGGGATTTAGGTATAATTTATCAATTTAGTTTTAGGTGCACATTGATACAGATTTCTATCTTTGAGGGTGCAAATTGAGATTTTTGATCTTTGGGGGTTACATTGATACAAATTTATATCTTTGAGGGTGCAAATTGAGATTTTTGATCTTTGGGAGTGTACATTAATACAAATTTCTATCTTTGAGGGTGCAAATTGAGATTTTGATCTTTAGGGGTATAAATTAAGATTCGAACGATCTTTCGGGATACAAAATGAGATTAACCCTAAAATTAACATCCAACTCCACAAATTCATGCTCTTAAATTCAAATGCATTTTTTGAATATATTTTTTTAAGAGCATTTCTAACAACATTTTGTATTTTAGCTTTTCAAAAGTACAATTTTTCTACTTTAGTTGCTCATTTTTTTGAATACACACTCCAACATATTTTCTACATTTTAACTACTTTTCACATATTTTGTATTTTTGTTGGGGCTGTTGGAGAGAGAGAGAGAGAGAGAGAGAGAGAGAACGGAGGAAAAGATGGAGAGTAAAAGGGAGAGGTTGGAAAGGACCGGAGGAGAGAAAAAAATATTATAAAATTTATACAAATTGCTATAGTGATATTCTTTTATTAAATTTTAACTATTTTAAAATTTTACATATTTTATTAGAGATGTTTTAAGATAACCGATCCAGTGCATGTCTTAATAACATTCCACTCAAGGGTGTGTGCTAGTCAATGGCATCCTGCACATGTAACTCTTTCTTCTGGGGTTCCATCTACCACACGTTGCCCCTTCTTAAATGCTGTGATGTTATACTCTAGAAAAGAGCTACCTATTGGTGGAGGTCTCTGGTTGAAGCCTGGATGTCCCCAGCTGTACACACTTGTATATTATCAGCTTTCCATTCTCATCCTATTTGAGTAGCATGAGTAAGTAACCACAAAAGAGGAAAATATTGTACATGACCCTCGAAACTATGTCTTCAAATTTGACATACCCTTCTCCAATTATTCCAATTTAGTAGTTCAACTATATAAAATGCAAGAGTCCAAAACTAACGAAAACCACAAAGATAACAAGGGCGCGTGAAAAAAGAAGTTTCATGGGTGATTTTTCTTAAAACTATGAAATTGAACGAAAGAGATTACTAGTTTCTATATAATTTTAAAAATATATTGAGACGGTCGAAAGTAGAGGAAACTTCATAAGAGATAAAGTGCATTTTCCTATTTTAAGTGCATAATGTGCACACTTAAGAGGGCCTATGAATTTGGTCTGTAATTCAAAACTAAAAAACTATCCTATGACTCGTGCTAAAAATTGTTTTTTTTGTTTTAACGGTCAAGATGTATATAAGTCAATTTACGCATATTTCAACTAATATTTTTTTAATTTATTTAAAAACAGGTTATCTACGCCAATATTAAGATATTCATAATAGATAAATCTCTCGTGATCTGACTCAATAAATTATTTAGATTCAAACTACTTACACTGTCTTAGATTTGTGGTGGAGTTGAGTGTAATAAAGAATGTTTTGAAGTCACGCACCGATCGGTTGGTGGGAGTTGAGAGATAGAGATAGTTTAAAAGCATAGTCAATTATTCACATGGGCAACTTGTCCACCCTTTTTATACAACTCAATGCTTGATCCAAGTTTCTCATCAAAACAAAGATTACAGCACGCAAAACACCCCCCACCCCCTCTCTCCTCATCCTCTCTCTCTCTCTCTCTCTTCTCTCTCTCTCTCTCTCTCTCTCTCTCTCTCTCATGGATCTTGTTTCCTTCTTGTTTTTTTCTTCCTCTTTTCTTTCTCTTTTTCATGATACTCGAGGTTGTCAAACAAAGAAAGCACCAATGCTGCTACATATTGGACTATCAGCTCTATAAACCAGGCGATGATAGAATGCTGAGCACTGAGTTTTCCGGCAAAGTCATCAGACGAAATAAGCAGTTGGGACTTAACGAGTACAAGTTCCTCTTGAAAGCCATTGTCAGCTCAGGTATTGGTGAACAAACTTATGCACCAAAAATGGTGTTCTGTGGCCGAGAAGCAAACCCTACTTACGACGATGCCATCACCGAGATGGATGAGTTCTTACATGACAGCATTGAGAAGCTTTTGTCGAGGACAGGCGTTTCTCCGTTGGAGATTGACGTCCTCGTCGTAAATATTTCAATGATAGCTCCGATCCCTTTTTGTGCGCTAGGATTATCAATCACTACAAGATGAGGATGATATTAAGGCCTATAGCCTCACCGGAATGGGCTGTAGTGCAAGTTAATATCAATCAATATTGTTCAAAGCATCTTTAAGTGTCGAAAGAATGTGAATGCTCTTGTTATTACCTCAGAATGTTTGAGCCCAAATTGGTACACCGGCAACGATAAATCGATGATTCTTGCTAATTGTCTGTTTAGGACAGGTGGGTGTGCAATACTTTTGACAAACAAAGAGTCCTAAAACACACAAGCCATGTTCAAATTGAAGTGTCTGGTTCGAACCCACCACGGTTCAAGAGATGAGTCCTACGATTGTTGCCTTCAGAAGGAGGATGACCAGGGAAGGTAGGGTCACCTCGACAAAAACCTCCCAAAAGCTGCAAACTAGCTTTGATCGATAATATCAGAGAATAACACCAAAGATACTTCCAGTAAGAGAACTTCTTCGGTTCATAATCGTTTCTTCTCTGCAAAAAATGACTCAGAGACCAAGAAAGGA